GCCCTATTCAATATAACTAAACCTGCAATAACTGATTTCTTTGCCACTAGGGGGCAGCAACGTGATCATCCCACTGCAGTCATTCTGGTGTCCGTCTGATGAATGGAAGTCTCTCTTTTAGCTCTGTTTTTGGTCTCCACCAACTCCTGAGGGAAATATCTGTCTCTTTAGCTGCTAAATGTTCACCAGCTCGTCTCTAACGGTGTCTGTCTGCTGTTGGATGCTGGGAGGTGGTTTTTAAAGCTTCCTCTTTAAGGACAGCCGCCTGCTGAGGATGATGATGAGAGTGAACCAAAACCGTAAGGTCAGAAAACCAAGCTGAAAGAGCCTAAAACTGCAGTCAGGTGATAATTCTTTGTGGGTTTGTCGCTATGAGTTGTGTGGTCCATTGTTTAAAAAACAAACATTTTGTCATATTTTTCTCACATTGAACATAAAACCTGAATCTAAACAGTGACTGTCAGATAAAAATAAAAAGTACAATATTTCCTGCTGAGATGAAAAAGAGACTCCAAAAACTTGTGCCTCAGCTGTGACAGCTGCAAGAGAAGAAGATGATAAAGAGAACAACAACAGTCTTAGTCAGGTATCAGTAAAGTGTGTGTATGTGTGTGAGTAATGGGTGTAATGGTTTGCGTTTGGTGGAATTTCCTGTCAGAGGGGAAAATATTAAGCAGACGAGAGGTCGCACTTTCAAAACCAATTAGACATGAAGCTGTGGAGTTTTTTTTAGTTTTAATTGGAAACATGTTGGAGGAGAAAAGTGGGAAAGTTTCACTGTGAGAAAATCTGCCTGCTGTTACCCCTGCCACGACTTAAAACGCGCGCGTGTGTGTGTGTGTGTGCGCGCAGTGGTGGGAGGTAACTGAGTATGTATCATTGCACATTGCTTGAGTATTTCCATTCTGTTATTCCAATACATCTCAGACACACTTTGCACTTGTTGCTCCCCTACATGTGTCTGACAGCCTCCGGTCCCGGCTTCTTTAACAGATTCAAATTTGACATAAAAAATACGATAAGCTCTGAAAACACAACACGCTGCAGAAGAGTTGTGGCTCCTCGTCCTGTGTCAAATGTCATTTCACCACTAAACATCTCAGATATTTGAATAACTGTTCGAGGCCCAGACAGGTGACATTCTTTCAGAGTATTAAACTTATTCTCATTAATCTTTGTTCTTCATTCATTTATATCCCGTTATGTTTTCTCTTGTTTTGATGGGAAGCATTTGATGGTTTACAGTTATCATCTTAGTGCTGGTGTGAAACGTGTGTACAGTGTGTGTGTGTGTAGACGTCATCCTGATGAGTGACAAAGGAATTGTGGGAAATTGCGTCCACCCCACAGTGTCATGTGTTTACTGTATCAACAGCGAAAGGCAGCTCAGATCTGAAGTGAACTTTATTTAACCTGCAGCACCGACGACAGATCAAACAGCTCCTCCGCGTTCACACTGGAGTCCTAATCCTGATGAAGTGAGCAGAAACACAACAGTAATATTTCATCTGTTTTATATTAAAACAGGTTTTCACGTTCTCTCAGTGAAAACACTTCTTGTCAGATTTATAAGCAATTGATAGCAACATGTCTAATATCCGACCTTAGTGTCATCAAACGTGTTTCTAACGTTTCTTTAAACTGATTCAGTTATTAAATGTAATCAGAGCTCCGGGGTTAAAGCAGCTCCACTTCCTCCATCAGCATGTTGTTGTAATATTGTGTTCACTTTACAACTGCTGTGTGTCCTTGAATACCTCAAATGACTCAAATGTTACTGTACTGTTTACTGTTGGTAAGAAACAAACAATTATTAATACATAATATTTACACATTTGCTCCTTTCCAGTTCCACACAGTGATGCCCTTACTCTGTATATGTTTAGGAGATCTTATTCATTCCTAAATATGTTCCGTTTGTGTTCAGTGTTTGTTGATACGGGGCTTAATAGGTTTGTTTTTGTTTGGTACGGTCTGTTTTTGTTGCGTTTTGTCATTTTACAGGTGGTGACATCTGTTTGATCATCAGAGTGAACACAGACCTCAGACCTCAGATCAGATGTCACACACACACACACAGCTACAGACGAGAGAATTAGAAAAAAAAGTGAATTTGAACCTCTGTTTCCACAACTGAGGAAACTCCATCTGCTGAGGAAGATCATATGATACGTTCAAAAGCTCCAGAACTGCTGCTGAATCGACCTCGAGCTGAGATTGTTTGGCCTTTTCCTGAAAATAGATTTGTTTGTTTTTTATTTCAGAAATGTTGAATTAATGCATCCTCCCTGTCTTCCTGAGTATAAAAGTGTGTGTGTGTGTGTGTGTGTGCGCGCAGCAGGCTGAACTGTGTTGGATTCAGTCAAAGCGAGTTTTAAAAGCTACAATTGGAGATAAAACACACAGTTGATAAGATATTAGAGAAACATTTCACTTTAAACCTCAACATCACATTTCTTCTTCTGCTCTCTTATCTTCCTCCTCCTCCTCCTCCTCCTCACAGCAGATGGATGAGCTGGGAACATCTGCTCACCGTCAGCACTGAGGGCCCAGATGTCAACACACACACATACATACACACACGCAGACGCATCAGTGTGTGTTAACATGTTGTTCTACATGTGATAACACGTGTCGTCTGTCTGCAGTCGACCTCCAGCGGGTTCTGTTCGCTCTGTACGTTCTCTCTCTCTCTCTCTTTCTCTCTCCTGCGCCCCGCGTTCTCTCAGCTTTTTACTTTTCATTGGAATATTGGCTTTTATTCCAAAGTCATACTTCAAATTAAATTAATTCTTATTTCATTTATTACACACATTGCACTTTTTGCGTGTTTAAGAAAATTCTAACAGTTTTTTGCATGTGTGAAGTTTGGGAATGTAAGTACTTTATTTAAGTAACATTTGGAACTACTTGTACATTACTTGAGTATTTTATTCTACTACTTTCTCCCTCTATATGCAGCTCTTGTTACAGAATCTACACACAAAACATATCAGCTTGTAAAATACACCACGGTTATAGATTCAAATACCAAAAAGTACATAAAGTAGTTGAAATGAGTAATCAATTCTGAACCAATAATATGGAGTTAAACTGAAGGGCCGTCCTGCCTAATGGATACATTTGATACTTTACAGTAGTGTTTCTAATATTTCTGTACTTATTTAGCCAAAGGAGCTGAAATCTGTTGGGAAATGATGCAGTCTGCAAAAAGCAAAAGGTTTTACATTTAGGAAAGTGCAAGTGTTTAATAAATCTTAGAATGTGTTTGTTTGAATCAGAAATATGTGTATGTATGTATACTACTCCACCAAGCAGTGATCAATATTTCAAATATTGAGATATTTGTGTCTTATATCTGTTCATATTTATATGTGCAGTACCAATCACAACAGAGGCTCCGGGCTGAATTCATACAGGAACAGAATCAGTTTCATTTGCTGAGAAACAAACAGACGTTGTCCGAATTTCAATGAATAGTTTGATGCTTTGATTTAATTACATTAAAATTGTAAAAAAAAGTTAAATCAATATTTCAATTCGATGTTTAATCACTTCATATATGTGAATATACTTGTACTGATGAATTAAAGTTTATCTGTATTTACAAAATGTGTGAACATAAAAATAAAATAAACAGTATTAGAAATGATTTAATCTTCTTCTAATCGGGGTAAACATCTCTCTAGTGGCTCTCTGCTCTGTCATTGTTTTAATAAATATAAAACATATAAACAACAATTACACAACAAATGCTATTTGAAAATAATTTATTGCAGACAAACAGGAATCAGAGTCGTCTCTGATGATAAAAAATAAATTAATGCGTCACAGCGTCTGCAGGTCAGAGGACTGTTTGGAGGCTTTTCTGAGGCTGCAGCGCCACCTGCTGTCAGAACACACATCATTAACACTTTACAGACTGTACATGAACTCATCACCACGTCCTCCAATAACCTAACAACAGGTCTGATTCAGGGTCAGTAATGCTGCAGATGGGAGTTCTCTGATGCTCTTATTAAAGGAACAAATGCTTTCACTTCATTTCTGTGAAACATGATAAGAGATCATTCAGCACAGTTGATATTTAATCTATTTCAGAGTTTTTGTGAAAGTTGAATTATTGTTTCGTCTCCTTGGTGATGCTCTGTTGGATATCTTTCAAACAGCTGTGCTGCCTGAAACTCTAATCCAGAGAACTAACAAGCAGATGTGGATTAATCTGCCCGTTTCTTTCTTTAATAACTGTTTGTCAGTAAATACTCATCACAAGTTCTCAGAGCTCTAGATGAAGTTTTCAAACGGCTTGTTTTGTCTGATCAGCAGCCCAAAAATCTTTACGATCACAGAAGAAGCGGCGTTTCAGAAGCTGGAACCAGTGACAGTGTTTCAAACTATTCATTTATCAGTGATTAATGTTCTGACATCAAACTGATCCTGTCAGCTCTGGACGCTGAGGAAGGGATGGTCAGAGCACCTTGAACGCATCAACAGGAGCACGCTCACAAAATGAACTGAAAGAAGAAGAGCATCTAAAAGGGCGCGGTGTCGTTGGTAGTTGTAGTTTTAAGGTTCAGACATGTAAAACTAGTGGTATGATCCTTTAAAAAGGTAATGTTCACATAAGTCCATATTAATACAATACTCACACAGTGTACACTGACAGGTATCGTATAGTAAGAGATCGTAGACCGTAGCTTCTTTGATTTTTTTCCACAGAACATCAGATCTCACAATCTGGACAGGAGGAACAGTGACCTCTGGGAGTGTTGTATTAAAACTGTGAACTTTTCCTTTAAAGGATGTTGGCTGAGGATTATTAAAATGGCACCAAACATAAAATAACACTGACATAAAAAGACATCAAAAGAGCATTTGATTTGTTCAGCGAGAGAATGAATCTCTGAAACCTCCTTCACACAAACATAAATATTTCAATCCACAAACAAACAAACAAACATTCAC